CAAATAGTAGTTTTCTGGTGCGTTTATTGCAGCTTTTGTCTTCGGCGCATTTTCGGCTTAAGCTGACTACCTCGGGGCCAGGGTTTAGGCTTTTTCCCGAGGCTTTACCCATGTTACACGCTTATAAGTAGGCAGCATGCCAGGCTTGACAAATAATCCGGTGAGAAGTTTCATGGCAGAAACGGCAGCCGCGCAAGTGGGCACCAGGCCGCTCTTAGCCTCTGAAAGGCAACTGAGAACCAAATTTGCCTTGCAAATAGGACTCATTCATGAAATGTTAGTAACCGACCTGCACACCGAAGCTCCCGAGGTTTTGGGATTTAGGGTTGATCAAAAGTCTGGCTTCCCCGTCAGTCCCCATTGTAGCGCATCTTTTCGTTAAGGGCAACCCTAAGAAGGCTCAGAAAAAAGTTCAGGCTTTCGGGCTCAGGGTCTCAGGGTTGGGGGTTCGGGGTGCGATAAGCGATAAAGTTTAGCGGATTTAGGGTCTTCCCTTCAGGGTGTAGGTGGCTTTGAGCTTCTAAGGTTTAGGTTTCTTGCGGCTCAGGTTTAGTGGCGATGGTTCAGCGGAATACTGTCCACCCCTAAACCCACAACAAACACCCCAAACAACAACCGCTATCCTGAAATTCTGGGGTCTGAAAGGGAGCTACTCCCTAAGGCGCCCTAGGCGTCCCTGACGTTCTTCAGGTTCTTCGGGTACGTCCCCCCCGTCCCTTAAGGACCCTAGAATAAGCCTAAACCCTACAACCCCCCCTCCCCACCCCCACCCTAAGCCCTAAGCCCCAAACCCTAAACCCTAAACCCTAAACCTGAAACCCCAAGCCCTGAACCCCAGAATCCAGGCTGCCGGCCGCGTTCTGCTGATCCCTCTCCTGGAATCGGGCTTATGATCGTTCCAAAACCCTCAAGTTTGGGTTTAGGGTTTAGGGTTTAGGGTTTAGGGTTCAGGGTTCAGGGTTCAGGGTTCAGGGTTCACTGTTTAGGGTTTAGGGTTTAGGGTTTAGGGTTTAGGGTTTCCTAAAGCCTGGAATCGACACCCTGAAGCCTCGGCCGCAAAGTTCGATGAGGGCTTAGGACCTTAGGATTTAGGTTCTTGGGGCTTAGGGTTTAGGGTTTAGGTTCTTATAGGGTTTAGGGTAGGTTTGGGGATTTACGGTTCGGAGTCGTGATGGGCTGATGGACTGAGGGTTTGAGTCAAAGGGCTTTGGGTTTTTAGGGTTTAGGGTTTAGGGTTTAGGGTTTAGGGTTTAGGGTTTAGGGTTTAGGGTTTTTCGGATTCAGTTTTGAGGGGCACTGCCGTCACCCTTGCTAAGTTGCCATCCCTGGGCATCCATCTACCTTGAATTGGCACAGTCACTTCTGGCAGCATGTTTATACCCAAAGGGTTTAGGGTTGAGGGTTTAGGGTTTGGGGTTTAGGGTCTCTAAGTCCAAAAAAAAACCCAGTCCGAGCCATTGCGCTGAGTCAGCGTCTACGCCTCTTTCGTCTTGGCCCTTACTAAAAACTAACCCTCCGAAGGCTCCTTCATATGGTCCCTTACCCCGTTTAGAGGGTTCTGAAATCTGGGCCCTGAATTTGCTTGGAGTATATAAGGGGTATCTAAGGGGTCCCCTTTTCAAGGCCCATACCCTAAACCCTAAACCCTAAACCCTAAGCCCTAAACCCTAAACCCTGAACCTTAAACCGTTTTTTCTACCCGAAGTTGCATAGAGCTTCAGACATGAGTGGTGCGTCGCGTTCAGCTTGCCTGGCCCTAAAGACCCCATACCACGGTTTAGGGTTTAGGGTTTAGGGTTCAGGGCTCAGGGTTCAGGGTTTAGGGCCTTACACTAACAGTCCTGAATTGGGATCATAGTACCCCCTATTCTGATCTTTTTTAAGGACTGTTAGTATCAGGGAGAACATCCCAACCCTAAACCCGAAGCCAAAGGCCCGAATTCGGTTCGTGGGGTTAGGGGTTTAGGGGACTTCAGGGCTGTAGGGCTTAGGGCATGTAGGGGTTTAGGGGTTGGGGTATTGAGCTTTAGGCCTGAACCCACACCCACACGCACGCCAAACAAAAACACAGCCGAAGCAAACTACACCCAAACCCTAAACCCTAAACCCTAAACCCTAAACCCTAAACCCTAAACCCTAAACCCTAAACCCTAAACCCTAAACCCTAAACCCTAAACCCTAAGCAAACAAACCTCATTGTGTGCCGGCCTCCTGGGCTTCGAGCTCCTCTTCGAACTTCTTCCGCCGCTTGAGTTCCTGTTAGGCGTTCGGGGATTCAGGGTTTAGGGTTTAGGGTTTTGGGGTTTAGGGTTTAGGGTTTAGAGTTTAGGGATACTTCAGAGGTTTTTAGGTTTTCGTGTGGGTTTCAGGGATTTTGTCGCTTGGGGTTTTGGGGCTTGAGGATTCCGGAAGCAGGGTTTAGGGGTGTGTGGCGGGACATGGGCTGTCGGGCTTGTCGCTGTATTCATGACCAGGAGTGTTGAAGATTTGCACATGACAACCCTACAAACTGAAAAGAAAAAAACATCAGAAACCGCTACACCCTTGACCTACACCCTCTGAGCCCGTAACCCCTTAAACGCTTTAAACCGGCTTAAACCCAAGCCCTCTGAAAAAATGAAATCCTCTAATCAACATTATGAAAAAATGCCCTAACCCTTGAATAAATCCTCAACTCTGAACCACCTACACCATCTGAGCTCTAAGCCCTCCAACCTGGAACACCCTAATGAGCCCTCAACCCCAAAACTCTTGAGGCGTCCCTATACCCCTAAACCCTAAGCCTAAACCCCTAAACACTAACCCCTGAACCCACCCCTAAACCCCTAAATCCCCCTAAACCCTAACCCCTAAACTAAACCCTAAGCCCTGAGCCCTGAGCCCTGAGCCCTGAGCCCTAAGCCCTAAGCCCTAAGCCCTAAGCCCTAAACCCTAAACCCTAAACTAAACCCTATACCCTAAACCCTAAACCCTAAACCCTAAACCCTAAACCCTAAACCCTAAACCCTAAACCCTAAACCCTAAACCCTAAACCCTACACGGGGAGGGCCTCTTTGAAACCCTCGGTGACGAAGACCTCAGCATCCTGACGAGCCCTGGGCTTCTGGCCGAGGTTGAGGGTTGAGACTGGTGTGGTGTTTAGGGTTTAGGGTTTAGGGTTTGGGGTTTAGGGTTTAGGGTTTGGGGTTTGGGGTTGGGGCTTGGGGTTTGGGGCTTGGGGTTTAGGCAGTCTGAGGCAAGCCTGGGAAACCCTGGTCCACATAATGGTCCCCTCCCCGAATATTTAACCCCCCCCCCCCCCCAACTTCCTAAATTTTAACCCCCCCCCACTGATAGTTATATATAGTATATTGGGGGATGTTAGTATCAGGGGGTGGGGGGGGGGTTTAAGGTTAGGGGGAGGGGATTATAAGGGCCTTAAAAATTAGAATAGGGTTTTGGGGGTCATTATAGTGCAAGTAGCAAGGGACCATCAGGGAATAATATTAGCCATTCCCGACCCCCAAATTAGATCCTCTTCTTTCGGGCTTTTGTATAGTCTGAAGCGGTCATGAGGCCTTTTCGCGCCACGTTGAAACTTCCGACTGCTGCTTAGAGGTTGGGTTTTGGGTTTCGGGTTTCGGGTTTAGGCTTTCGGTCTAAGGTTCAGAGTTCAGGGTTTAGGGTTACGGGTTTAGGGTTTAGGTTTCAGGGCCAGGGGTTCAGGTTTAGATTGAGGCTTCAGGGGCCCAGTTTTGGACCGAGGTCCGCACTCCTTCTCCTTCTTGAGAAGTCTGTCTTCCACGATCTGCGAAGAGTAGGGTTCAGGGTTCAGGGTTCAGGGTTTAGGGATTAGGGTTTGGGGTTTAGGATTTAGGGTTTAGGGGTAGGGGCTTAGGGAGTAGGGTTTAGGGCCTATGCGAGAGCTAGGTTTAAGAAGCTGGACTACAAACCCAAAGGGTATCGCTTCGGGAGGTCGTCAGCTAACGCACTGACTAGCTAACAACTAATGAGCTGCACAACACACACACACACACAAAACTGTGCAACTGATTGACAACAATCCCTCTCTTTTTGGCACCTTTTGTAAAGAACAGGTGTCTGGTGTCGGGGTTCGGGATTTACACCAACGCTCTCTGCGACATGCATCTGCAAAGGCTCGGGCAATGCGGGGTGAGTCTTTCGGGTTCTAAGGCGAAGGGCCTGCTGCTCGACTTTCCTTCTGTCAGTCGCGATCCTCAGGCTCTGCAGTGGGTTTAGGGTTGAGGGTTTAGGGTTGAAGGTTTAGGGTTAGGGTTTAAGGTTTGGGGTTGAGGGTTTAGGGTGTAGCGGTGTAGTGTCCAGCACTGCTCTCCTCTTGACAAGGGTTTGGGATTTAGGGTATTTAGGTCAGGGTGAACTCATCCCATTGGTGTATTCACCACCGTTTGGGACTCAGGGTTATGATGGCATGAAGCTGTGAGGGAAATACGTGATGTTGAGGGGCAGAGGGGCAGGGGAGGTGGGGAAGGGCAGGGCCGAGTACTTGGCGGATTGGGATTCTTGTTCCCGAAGGTCGAACACTCAAGCCTTCGAAACCAAGTGAGGTCGGAAATTGAGCACCAGCTACGTAAGGCGAAACCCTAAACCCTAAACCCTACACCCTGCACCCTAAATCCCGGCAAAAAAAAGCAAAAAAAACAAACAAAAAAAACTAAATTCCTGCGGCAAGCATCATGACTTTCTCCACATACTTTGCGGAGCGCTTCGTGCCGGTCTTGACCTCAAAGCGTCAGGAATCACACGAGCTGCCAGAAGTGCAACCTGCCTGAGCCCCAAACCCTAACCCTAAACCCTAAACCCTAAACCCAAAGCCCAAAGCCCTAAGCCCTAAACCCTAAACAGAGGATGCGGAACGTTCTTGAAGGCCAGACCATCTTAAGAACGTCTTTGCTGCGCGGAACCTATTTTACGAGGCTGGGGTTTAGGGCCGCAAGGCGGGGACAGCACGTATAGGTTGTTTTTTCCAAAATAGGGGTACCCTAATCGGAGATTCCTATCAGAAGGAGCCTGGTATTTGTCGGGGGCTTGAAAATTCAACCTTCAAACCTCAAGCCCTCAACCCTAAACCCAAACCCTAAACCCTAAACCCCAAACCCTAAACCGCAAACCGACCCCAAACCCCAAACTCTATATCTGGGAAGTACCCACATCAACCGTCCCTTGCACGCCTTCCCTGTGCCCCCGACGGCGTCCGCGCCCTGAGGAACGTGGAGGCCCACGCGCTTCTTCTGCTGCATCGCATCGGCGCCTGGGTAAAGGGACTCAGGGATTCAGGGATTTTGGGGTTTAGGGTTTAGGGTTCGGGCTGAGGGATTTAGGGATTTAGGGTTTAGGGGTTTTGTGTTTAGGGATTTGAGGTTTAGGGTCTGGGGCTTGCAACGCACCGGGGGGGGGGGGTGTAAAGGAGGGGGTGCCCAGACAGTATTCCTCAAGTCCTCGGAAGCCCTAAAAAAGCCTCAAGGCCCAAGCTCAGAAAACGATACCCCAAGACGTTATTTTGGGGTTTCGGGTCTAGTGTTTAGGGGCTTAGGGAAGCGGCTTGGGTGGTTCGGCCACATCGGAGAATGAGTCCTCCCCACACCCTCCCCTCGGCCCCAATGCCGAGGCTTCGACGCCTTCTCCTGCCCCACCTCCTCCCCGCGTCCAAAGTTGTCCCGCAGTAAGTGCGTGCGAAGCACGCACGTGTATATGTATATGTATATATATATATACATACATATAAATATAATGTGTATATGTCTAGATATTTCCTGGTAACCTGGTGGTGGGTTTTATTAGTGGTGTTCTACGGTCGATATGTGGAAGATATTAATTGACATGTGCAATAAAATAAGCTGTTACTCCTTCTGAGTCATATTCCGAAATATGACCCTCTTGAAACCCAATCGGGAAACCGAAAGGTCCTACCCAGATCAGATTTCTATGAGGGAAGGTTTAGGGTTTAGGGTTTAGGGTTTAGGGTTTAGGGTTTAGGGTTTAGGGTTTAGGGTTTAGGGTTTAGGGTTTAGGGTTTAGGGTTTAGGGTTTAGGGTTTAGGGTTTAGGGTTTAGGGGCTAGGGTTCATGGATTCCGGGTCCCTGGCGGACCCTGTCGCTGACAGACTCAACGCCCTGCTCCTGCGGGAATTATGGCAGCTCGTCTGGTGAATAGGGTTTAGGGTTTAGGGTTTAGGGTTTAGGGTTTAGGGTTTAGGGTTTAGGGTTTAGGGTTTAGGGGAGAAGGTTGCAAAGCATTTTAGGGATTAGGGCTTAGGGTTGCCCCACAAAATCCAGCCTAACCTGATCAAGAAAACTGGCAGGCAGAACCGCTCTACATCACTTTACGAATGACTTCTCGAACTGGAGTGTATTTCGGCTTTAGGGTTTAGGCTCAAAAGAGCTGTCACTGTGAATTAGAGGTCAACGATCATGTTTAGGTTGAACTTGCAGCCATGGGCAAAAGCGTTGGGCCTCCTTGATGTCGTCCAGAATTTCGTCATACTGGAAGACCTCAATTTCCAAGGTGTCGAGAGCATGGGATAGGAGCATATGGGAACCCTTGAACGCGTATACGGAACGGAGAATGGGTAGTTCAGCGCCCACATTAGGGCCCTAAACCCTAAACCCTAAACCCTAAACCCCTAAACCCCTACACCCCTGAACCCCTAAAGCCCCTAAACCCCCACTAGTTGAGGCCCGAGGGATCCAGCCATGCTTGGGTCAAGGGATTTGTGCTGCGAATCTCAGGAGGGTAGCTATAAACTAGGCCCGGGAGTAGCCTAGGAATAAAAAGGGTGCTGTACCCTTTTTGGTTTTGAGGGGATTATGAGGGAACCCCAACCCTAAAAAAAGGAAGAAGGGCCTACTCCGGGTCTTAGTAAATTAGACTTTTGGCTGCCTCATTAAGAAACCCAATGAACCCAAAAAGGGTAAGGATCTAAAGTTACGGCAAAGTACCACCAAAGACTCCATCACTCCCTTTCAAGCACCTCCACGCCGAGAGCTCTGCCCTAGGGCCCGACAGACTCGGTGTTAGGAATCTAGGGTTTAGGGTTTAGGGTTTAGGGTATATAAAGCTGCAGCAAAGGGTGGTGGGGCGGCTGCCCTTGTGGCCCTAAGTCCCAAGCGAGGCACCTCAGTTGCATAAGGTTCGAGGCTGCGTATACCATCAGGGCTTGATGGGGCTTATGGCGTTTCACTCCCGACACCCTAGGCAAACCTAAACCCTCGACCCCAAAGGTTTAGGGTTTAGGGTTTAGGGTTTAGGGTTTAGGGTTTAGGGCTTAGGGTCAACCCTAAGCGTTAAAGCCCCGTAAGGAGCCGGCCGTTGGATCCTCTTCTAAGAGCTTCTCCGCCTGTCGCTGGGCCTTCCACGGGATGTTTCGAGTGGTTCACGGCTTCAGGAGTGCGGTAGATGGGTTTAGGGTTTAGGGTTTCGGGTTTAGGGTTTAGGGTTTAGGGTGTAGGGCCTAAGCCCTACACCCGAAAACTGTCCTTCCCGAAACTCCAAGCCGAATCCGGTGCGTGGGTCGCTTTACGAAAAAACGTAGTGGCCCAAGAACACTAAACCCTAAACTGAACCCTACACCACACCCTAAACCCTAAGCCTAAACCCTAGCAGAAGCTCAAGCAAAAGCCAGTTGAAGCTCCAGCGGCCCCACCATTGGTAGCCCAGTGCCACAAGAATCATGAACCTTGTCACTAGACCCGGGAGTAAGCTAGGAATAACAAGGGCACCCTTTTTGGCTTTAAGGGGATTTATAAAGGAACCCCAACCCTAAAAAAAAGGAAAAAAGGGCCAACTCCCGGTCCAGGTCAACCTTGAGAGTACCTTGAGCCTCAATATGAAAGAAAGGTGCCTAATTAGGCCCGACTCTAAAGCTTATGGCGCTTATACCTTCGCGGGCAAGAGCACGCTGCACCTCTGGGCCGTTCTCTAAACCCTGGTCCCTTGCTTTGAGGGTTTAGGGTGCAGGGTTGAGGGTTCCTAAACCCTAAACCGTTCTCCAATAAAAAGCTCTGGTCCCTTTTTGAAGGGTGCCCAGGATAGATGGCTCCGTGTTGCAAAAGGAACCCGACCAGGTTTCAGTGAACCGGCGATCTGCGCTTCCCCAAAAAAGGGCAAAGGGCACCACTGAACTACCAAGCACCTGAAATCCCTACTACAACTACCAGTGAAACTTCCAGGAGCCGGCGCCCATCGGGTGGACGTGGGAATCACGCCCCAGGGGCGGTGTCGGGTTTCGGGTTTAGGGTTTACGTTTAGTCGAAGTGATGCGGAACTAACACGTTCTAAACCCTAAGCACTGCACACCCTGAACCCTGAACCCTAGCCATGGAGCCTTCTATTTACAGTAGGGCACCCAACAAGGTACCATAATTTGGAGAGCTACCCTCACACGTACTTTCTTATCTAAACCCCAAAAGAACCATGAAATTAGAACTGTCATCGAGGGCCTTCGAAAGAATTGATAAGCCAACCCTCAATTAAAGCCTGGGGCCCTCAACAATACATATGAAGTCTAAACCCTAAACCCTCAACCCTAAACCCTCATCCCTAAACCCTAAACCGTAAACCCTACCCCCTAAACCCTAAACCCATGGCTTGCTTGCACGGAGAGAGCCACCTGTGCTGCCTCGGGAGTGAGTTTGGACCAGGAGGGCAAGGATAGCTTCTTGTTCTTGTCCTCTTCAGGCGGTTCAGTGTTTAGGGTTAGGGTTTGGGGCTTAAGGTCTCTAGGGTTTTTAAAGGGCCGGGGGGTTCAAAGGGGGTACGTAACCCCAGGGTCCCCAGCACCCACTCCTTCAGGTTTCCTCGCTACACCCTTTGAAGCCCCTGTCTCAGGGAACCTATAAGGTAAACCCTAAACCCTAAAGCCTAAACCCTAAACCCTAAATTAAGGCTTGGGGTTTGGTATTCAGGACTTCGGGGTCCGGGCTTCAAGGGTTGCATCGAGGATGTGGGGCTTATAAGGGCTGTAGGATGTGACGGGATGACATGGGGGTTAGGGTCCTGGGGGTTAGGGGTTTAGGGGATTGGGGGGTTGGTGTGTGGTGTTTTTTGGGTAAGGGTTTTAAAACCTAATGTAGGTTTGTGGGGTTTATGGGTTTAGGGTTTCGGGGTTACCCTGAATATTGTCCCTTACCTTCATTTAAGGGGTTTGGGGTTTATAGGGTATGTAAGGGTTCCCCAATTAAAGGCCCACCTTTTTAAGAGATCAAGTAACTACCGTAAGCATAGCACCCAACCCTAAACCCTAAACCCTAAACCCTAAACCCTAAGCCCTAAACCCTAAACCCTAAACCCTAAACCCTAAACCCTAAACCCTAAACCCTAAACCCTAAACCCTAAACCCTAAACCCTAAACCCTAAACCCTAAACCCTAAACCCAAAGCGCCGTCCTCTCGCTCCAGAGACTCCTGGAAGAGTGCAGCCACTCCGGGTGCTTTGCCCTGGCGATGGGGGTTGAAGGAGCTCGGCCTATGGGGTTTAGGGTTTCGGGTTTAGGGTTTAAGGTTTAGGGTTTAGGGTTTAGGGTTGAAGGCTAAGGGTTTAGGCTAGGATTTCGGGCCTAAGGGGTTAGAGGACATAGGGATTTGGAGCGTGGGGTGGTTTAAGCGTTTAAAGCTCAGGCGGACTCGGGCTGGGAGCTTAAGGGCATGCATTGGGGCCGAATTGCTGGCCGAATTAGAGGTTCACGGTACCGCGTAATATTTAGATAATTTCATATCTTCAGGTGGATTCGAAGCGTGTAATTGGCCTTCTACATATATGCTAGCAAAGTCCACGCGCCTTCTCAAGGGAACATGCCCCGGGAAAAAGATTACGAGCGTCTCTCTTTTTCCCGCTTTGGGTTTCAAGGGTCAAGTTGCATGGCTGTTAAGGGGAATTCGATTATCTACCTGAAAATTAACTACACCCTTGGCAAGACCTCTACAACGTCTAAGTTGAGCTCCTTTTTCAGAGTCCCCTCCTTGCGGACCCTCTTCGGCCGCGCGGCTTCCGGCCACTTTCCTGTCAAGCCCCACTCTCGGAAGAGCTTCTGCCGTGACAGCTTCCCCTTGGGAGCATTCGCGATGTGGATCTCCTTGTAGGAGATCTTCGGAGTCTTCGGAGTCTTCGAGCCTAGGCGTCGCTCCGGCTTCCCATCGCGGCCGTAGGGTAGAAAGCCAGCAGGCACTGGCAAAGCAGCGACGGCCGCCCAGGAGTCCTCCGCCCTGCCCGGCTTCCATCTCTCATCCGCTCGCAACCTCTCCACCTGCTTAGCATAGATGAAGGCTCCACACAAGCAGGGCTCGATGTCTCCCAACTCTACGGACTTCATCTTGGCAGGTAGTTTTGGGAAGAGCTTCCCAATGGTCTTGGACAAACGCTTGCATTTTCTCGAAAGCCGGTCGTGGTAATACTCGGTCGCGGCCTTCCCGGTGAACATCTTGATGCCCATGAAGGTCATGGCGCCGTTCTTCGCCCCTTGGCCGAAAGGAAGTGAAGCCCGGCCCACACTGCGCATCTTTGGATTTTTGGAAGCACCCAAGATAATGAGGAGCTCTTTCCTTGAAAGCTCCCCTCGGAGGCCAGGAAGACTGCAGAGAGCGGCGTGGAAGGTGCCCGGACTCGTGTGGAATGCCTCTACCAACCTCGGGACCTCTCTGTGCCAGTGCACCAGATACAGGAAGCGTGCTTTTGCCGAGCGGCTCTTCTTATCCAAACCGTCAGAGCCTATAACCCGCATTACTGCGCCAGTGTGGCAAACTGCCGTGCTCACCCAGCGGAGGACTTCCAATGGCTGCACAACGCCGGGCTTGTAGCGCAGGGTGCACGGCATGGTCTTGAGCCTGTGCCAGGCTTTGTGCTCATGGCCACCATTCCCTAAGAAGATCCAAACTAGGAGGCGCCACATCTTGTTGTGGCTCATGTCATGCTCCTGCGTGTCCACCACCTCTCTGAGGGCCACGTGAATGTCATCGTAGTGGGCGAGCTTGCCACAGTGGACGGTTGGGAAGCGCTGAGCCAGTGGACAGCGCACTTTCAGGGCCCTCAAGGCCTGCTTTTGCTCGAACACGGGGTTGCTTGCGCGCAGGAGGCCCATGAATGCCCCAAATGCTTCCAGCCGCGCATCTTTCGCGCTGAACTTTTTCAGCTCCAGGCCCATGTCGTTGGCCAGATACCCGTGCATCAGCTTGGCCAGCTCCTTTGCGCGCTTCTCATCCGTCAAAGGCGCTACCATGGCAAACCCTCTGCACCCTAAAGAGTCCAAGGAATCCTATCTAGGTCCTGAACCCCCCCCCAATTCGATCGAGGTTTACTGCTCCAAACCCATGAAGCTCTTACAGAGTTACTGTGTGCTTCCTACGAAAGGGCAATAGCCCCCTGTGGATGTTCACTAAACCCTCCACACCAAGTACAACCCTCAACCCTCAACCCTCAACCCTCAACCCTCAACCCTCAACCCTCAACCCTAAACCGCAGCTAGGCAGATCACAAGGCCGAGAGGGCGGCAACGGAGGTTGAGCACAAGCTGAATTCCGCAACCCTGATTTCTGAACTTGGGATGTTCCCCCCCTATACAGGTCGGGATGTTCCCCCCCTATACAGGTCGGGATGTTCCCCCTTGTACAGTTTTAGGGGGAGCATCCCAACTCTAAACCCTAAACCCTGAACTGGCTTCATTTGGAGTGTGCTCACATACCATGGGCAGCGGGCTCAGGGCATATAGGGCCCCAACCAAAGAAGTCCGCACTCAGAATCGGCAAGTGCTTGTAGTAGCTAACGGCGGAGTCGTGCATGTGATTGCTGCAGGTGCATGGTTAACCCTGAACCCTAAACTCTTAACCCAAGACCAAAACCCAAGACCAAAGCCCAGCCCTAAACCCTAAACCCTAAACCATAAACCCTAAACCCTAAACCCTAAACCCTGTTAGTATAGGGGGTCCGAAGTCCCAAACTCGCCAAGGACCGACATCCTACCCCGGAGGTTCCTGTGGCTTACCCAGCTTGCTCGCTGTCGCCGGTTGCGTCGTTGACCTGGAGAGGGTTTAGGGTTTAGGGTTTAGGGTTTAGGGTTTAGGGTTTAGGGTGTAGGCGGGGTTCGGGATTTACGGTTCCAGTCTCGCCTTTTTGCGGCTCCTGACAAAGGAAACCCCTGAGCCCTACACCACCACGGAAACCTCGCAGAAGTATAGGAGCTCTGATCGGGCTACTTGGGTATGTACACATAGTGGGCAACAGATCGTTTTCCCTTAACCTGGATTCCGAATGAACAGCCCGGCATTCTGGCCATGCCTATGAATCTGCCCGGAGTTAAACCCCAAACCCTGAACCCTGAACCCTGAACCCTAAACCCTAAACCCTAAACCCTAGCCCTAAACCCAAAACCCTACAGCCCCTAAGAGCACAGGGTTCAGGGGTCAGGTGCCGCGCACCCATGACCGCCCATTGCATGGTAGTACCATTGTGGAGTTGGATCCCCGTTTAGTTTTTAAGGCTTAGGGTTTAGGGTTTAGGGCTTAGGGTTTAGGGTTTAGGGTTTAGGGTTTAGGGTTTAGGGTTTAGGGTTTAGGGTTTAGGGGGGTTCAGGGTTTAGGCCCATACTAGTACCGCAAATTAACCCTCCAGATTCATGAGTTTTTTGGGTTTTGGGGGCCCCTAGACCCAGGAGTAACCTAGGAATACAAAGGGTACCCTTTTTGCTTTTAAGGGGATTATAAAGGAACCCCAACCCTAAAAAAAGAAAACAAGGGCCTACTCCCGGTCCTAGACCCTCTGGGTACGGGCTCGAGGCACCCGACGGTTCACAAGGCATGTTGCTGCGTGCATTAGGCGCGGAGGACTTAGGGAGGGGGTGGCCGGTGCAGGTACCCCAAACCCTAAACCCTAAACCCTAAACCCTAAACCCTAAACCCTAAACCCCTAAAACCCTAAACCCTAAACCCCTAAACCCCTAAACCTCTAAACCTCTAAACCCCTAAACCCCTAAACCCCTAAAGCCTAAACCCCTAAACCCCTAAACCCCTAAACCCCTAAATCCCTAAACCCTAAACCCTAAACCCTAAAGCCTAGGTAGGACTTACCGTGCGGGTAGGGTTGAGGATGTAGGACTCAGCCTGTGTAAGCCAACTTATTCATCTCTACACTTTTGGGTACCCACCTTATGGGCCTGGGCCGGTCCCCTCGCACTGGTGGGTTTGGCAGTACCCGAGACCCTAAAGCCTACTTGGAGTTTCATGGTACTTATTCACCAACTATAACTGTGCTTATCACGCACTTGTAAGCCCCTTAAGTGCCCTAATATGGCTGGAATTAAGTACAGTTAAAAGTACAGCTGTAATTGGCTAGTAAGTACCCATGAACCTCCCAGTACCCTAGACCCTAAAGCCTATGTACATCACAAGAGGGAGCCCGCTTGCATAGGGTGAAGGGCCCATAGAACCTCGAAGTTGACTCGAATCCACCCAGAAACATGAAGTGCTAGAGATAGTACCGTACTAGGCGGGATTGAGTTGTAAACATACAAGCTCCTTTCAATCTACGAACTGCCACAGCCCTAAGCCCCGACCTCTGCATGTCTTTTCGGGTCATGGGTGACGAGAACACTACGACATTTGCTAATCAGCATCAGCTTGCTGCACTTTGGTAGCCCAGAAACCATATTCATAAGGGTACCCTTTTTGGGGTTGGCTACTTGATAAGGGAAGCTTGAACCCAAGAAAGGGCACCAGGGTAGCCCTGGGCTACCAAGCGGAAGAAAAGTCAAGGCAGAAGCGGGGGTACCCGATCTTGGGCCTGGCGATATGTTGCGGTGAGGTAACTCTGAGACTCGTACATAAAGCCGCCATGATAGGGCTAGTTGCAACCAAGGCCGATGTTGCTGTTCTTGAAACTCAGCACTTAACTGGTGATAGCGCCTACGACAGGGCACTTCTTAATTTCCCTAAACCCTAGCCCTAAACCCCTTTTATCCTGGGAACGGACAGAACCTGACAGGCGCGTGGTCCTTCGGCTTTCATAGGGATCGTTTTGGTGAAGGAATGTGATCTCAATTTTGTCCTCATACGCCTTGTGTGCGCACCAAACCCTCACATGCAATTGGACAACCGTCGGTTTCAGGGCGTTGGACGGTGTTGGGGGGTGACAGAGGCCTTCAGGGATTAATTAGGCCTACGGCATGGATCTGACTTTCGTGTATACAGCCCGCGGGGAAGACGCTCCGCTGCAGCTTCTGGACATTGAATGTTGGCAAGCACGACAAACGATTAAACACGGCGTAAAGCACTGCGAAAGAGATGTAAAAAATGTCAAACACGAGCGCAGTGCAAGTCCCGTCACTGCATGGCACAAACCCTCAACCTACACACGCCCTATCCTGTAACCCCGACCCTCTTGGTACCCTCCTGGGCGGCGGGGCACTCGTGTTTAGCGAGGACTCCTATAGTAAGCCCTAAGCCCTAAACTTGGGACGTTCCCCCTTACACGAACAGTCCTGGATAGGGATTATGCTACCCCTTTAGGGTTTTTAGGGTATTGTTTTTTGGATATGTTGGTGCTAGTTTCGGGGCTGAGGGACTCTGAGCGGGCTTGCGGCGTTGTGGTTCCGAAGGTACCACCTTCTTTGCTGAGGGTTTTGCATGGCTTTGGGACGGCTCAGGGTGCTAGGGCTGAAACCCTAAAACCCTAAGCCCTAAAGCCCTGAAACCCAAAAAAAACCCAAAACCCTAAAACCCTAAACCCTACCTTCATCTGTGTTTGTTTCTAGGGGGGGGAAGAAGTTGAGGGTTTAGCCAAGACTCTGAAAGTGAAAAAAAACCCTATACCCTTTGTATCTACGTTTGCTGTTTGTTTTGGTGGGGGGGGGGGGGTCCCTAAACCCTAAACCCCTAAACCTCAAGGTTTGGGCTTCCAGGTCGGCCGTGGGGTGCAGATTCCTGGGGCCCGATATTCTCTAGAGCCCTTGGGTTTAGGGTTTAGGGTTTGCGGTTTAGGGTTTAGGGTTTAGGGTTTAGGGTTTAGGGTTTAGGGTTTAGGGTTTAGGGTTTAGGGTTTAGGGTGCTCAGGGTCTATCCTGCGCAATTAGTGGGTAGGGTTGAGGTTCAGGTTGAGGGTTTATGGGCAAGACTAGAGGGTATTGGATCCCGAGGTTGCAATAGCCAGGAAGTGACGTGACATGAGTTGGGTATAGGATTTAGGGTTTACTTGGAGGCTCATGTTGCTTAGTAACCAAATATAGCTGTACTAAAAACAGCACTTATAACCATCATTAGGGCACTTCAGGGGCTGGTAAGCGGGATATACAAGTACAGCTCCGATTGGTTCATATTGGTTCATAAGTACCATGAAGCTCCAAGTAGGGTTTAGGGTTTAGGGTTTAGGGTTTAGGGTGAGGAAGGACCCCCGCCTGAACCCGAAGCCTCACACCCGGTCACACCCCAACATCCCCGACTGCGGAGCTCGACCACCCTGAGCTCCGAGTGTGGCCTTTCTGAGGGCTTCGGGTTTGGGGTTTAAGGTTTAGGGTTTAGGGATCAGGGTTTAGGGGTGAAGGTTTAGGGCTTAGGGCTTGGGGTTTAGGGCTTAGGGCTTAGGCTTTAGGGCTTAAGGCTGAGGGTTTGGGGTAGTTATACATGGTCCCGTTGTACGGGCCCTTAAATGGGGACCCTTAAGAACCCCTTATATACCCGACAAAACTCAAGTTTCCATACTCTTTAAAGCAGGTAAGAGACCATACTAACGGACATTGCAACTATTAATTAGATAAACCCAAAACCCTGAACCCCTAAACCCAACACACTCTAACCCTAAGCCCTATACGCCATTCTGAACGGGATTGCAATGAGTAATTCGAATCACAGATGCAGCTTGATCCAGCCTATGGCTTCAATACTTGGCGCCCGGTGAATCGGGTTTAGAGTCTAGGGTTTAGGGTTTAGGGTTTAGGGCTTCAGGCTTCGGGGCCCTATGGGTTCTAGGGCCTCTAGGGTTTTGGGCTTTCGGGGCCCTAAACCCTACGCCCTGATCCTCAGCTGCTTTAGGGTCTGCTGGCATTGGGGTCTGTTCCCAAACCCTAACACCCAAACTCTAGACCCTGGTGCCAGGGGCTTGGGGAATGAAAACTCATTTCTGCAAGAACAAAGGAATAGCAGGGTTAAACTCCACTCTTCCCTAAACCCTAAACCCCAAACCCCAAACCCTAGACCCCAAACCCTAAACCCTAGACCCTAAACCCTAAACCCT